TTATATCAACAATATAGCAAAATTGGTACCTCATATAGAACCATATACAGCCAGCATAATCAAACTGAAACGGTACTTAAAATTGCAAAATGCTATATGAGTGTCAGATCTTGGCAAATGATATTTCTCATGTTTTTTTGGCAGCGATTGAACAGGAAAAGCAAAGCAAAAACACACCCTGAAGTTGGATCAGAAGATATGGCTGGCATCTACTGCTGTGGGGTTTTAAGTTCTACAATTTTTTTTAACTTTGCTATTAATTGCCTTGGCTCACCCATTTTAAAAATAGCACTTTTCTTTCTTTCTTGGTATTTCCTTTTGAAGCAATGCTCTGAAACTAATCAAGTCTACCTTCGCCGTTCCCCAAAGGGACTACAACCTTTTGTCCAATAAAAATGTGTCAGTTTGCCAAAAATGTTCACTTCTGTTGTATGTCAACAGGGAATGTCATTTTCATACAGTATCTGATTTAGAACCTCATAATAAAGTGTTTTCTTATGTGTTACCTTTATTTAGAAGTTAAATGCCGATACAAAAAGAATGGCACTTTCATAAAGTGTATCTATAAATGCTCTTTAAAATATTTACCTTTCATTCTACAGTTAAATATGATCTGACTTTGTGGAGGGACAGTAACATAACAAAAAAGGTTAATCTTTGGCAATTGACAAGAAATTTAACTTGTGATGGTAAGCAATCATACGGTGTATTGAAGAAAAATGGAGTAAGATTACTCTATAAAATAACAGAAAAGATCCCTGTGTTATGATTTTACTTTGTCATTTTCCCAAGGTAACAGTTTTGTATGCTTCCATACAGCAGATTTGTATTGAGTTATTATTTGAACATAAGTTTTGTAAAATTCCTGAAGACACTGTTAATATGCTTACATGTTAATCTGTCTAAATGGGAACATATTCACTTCACTATGGAAAGATGAGAGGGCTGTATTACCACAAGCTGATTTTATCGATATTTTATTCTTCTTCCCTAGGCAGGGAATGAAAATCTGTTTTTGATATTCTCTGATGTACTTTCAGTTCATTCTGAGATTTGAAAAGTTACCGTACTTTCTGGAGACTACAGCTCCAAGAATTCCCCAGTCAACATGGCCAGTGTAAAATACTAATATAAGTATAGTCTGCAATTTAAAGACATAGCTGTGTTAGACTGTAAAATCAGTATGGAAAGAGAGCTTCTAGCACCTTTGAGACTAACTGAAAGAAAGTTGGTAGTATGAGCATTCACAAGCTTAAGCCTACTTCCTCCCAAATGCATCTGAGGAAGTAGACTGAAGCCTAAGAAAGCTCATGCTACCAACTTCTTTCTTTCAGTTAGGGCCTTTGCAGACTGCCAGAAATAGTGCAAATTGAGTCCACTTTAAGGGTTAGGATTAGTGCTAGGGAGTCATGGGAATTGTTTTTTTTCTGAGACATTGAGCCTTCTCTGTCAGAGAGCTCTGGTGCCACAATAAAATACAGTTCCCATGATTCCCTAACCCTAACCCTAACCCTTAAAGTGGACTCAATTTGCACTATTTCTAGCAGTCTGCAAAGGCCCTAAGTCTCAAAAGTATAGTCTGGTGTATCTAGAGACCACAATATGCAGTCATCCACAGAATCTGGATAGTGAGAAATGAAGGAGAGACAATTAGAATTATTTGTTGATACAGACCAAAATGAAACTATGGAATTTGCTGTCACAATATACAACCACCTGTTGGAATATGGATGGGTTATACAGTCAAAGGTGAAATGTAGAGATTTGTGTATGGAATTTTCCTCATGAGAACAACATCTAGAGAAGTAAAGGAGCTCAGGAGACCAGATGGCTGTTAAAGGTGGTAAGTCCAATCCATGGAGGAGAAAACTGCCAGTTGCAACTAGTCAATATGCTATATGTTACTTCAGGATCAGACATAAAAGTACCCTGACTTATCAGTCACTGGTAACAATGTCAGATACCAGGTTGGTGCTATTATCTTCATGTCCTGCTTATGGGTTTTCCATGGACATCCTGATTTCCTACTGAAGGAAAGAGAATGCTGGAGTTCCAGTTTGATTTAGCAGGGTTTCTTTTCTATGTCTTTTAGCTATTTTCCATACTACAGTATGAATACTCGTGTCTGCCTGGACAAGGGTTAAAAATGTAACTGAAAAAGAGATTTATATACACACACCCAATGCACATACATCTTCATGATCTCATTATCTGCATAAAAGAAGAGGAGATCTATATAAAACAACTTACAACTTTTCCATTTTAATGGGTTTAAATTAGTCATATTGGGTAGGGGTGTATTTGCAATACTAAATAGCTCCACTAGATGGTAGTTTGCCATCGTTTGAAAGAGGCATTTCCCTCTTTTCTTTCAGGTAGTGATTTTGAATTTGAGAGTTATTGTTTTCCCAAGAGAGAATAGGACCTCATCTAATGGTCAAGCATACCTTCGCTCTCAAATAGTACCTTTTCTTGAATTCAGAAGAATTTTTTTAAAATCATAAATACTATTATCTGTAAAGCCAGCATGGTATAATGGTTTGAGTGCAGGCAGGACTATGACTCTGGAGACCTGGTTTCAATTCCCAGCTCTGCCAGGGAAACCCACTGGGCAAGTCACACTCTCTCAACCCCAGACAACCCTGTGCTAGGTTCACTTAGAATCACTAAGTCAGAAATGACCTGAAGGCTCACAACAACAACAACAACAGCACTTATCTATAAACAATTTTGTACTAAATAAATCACATGAGTTTTTGGTCTTGATCATAATTTTAAACAGTGCAATTGGGATTCAACAGTTCTGGGTTGTTGTTTTTAAATCACTCTGGCTGACCAAGATATGCCAGTCTAGATTTGGCTATGTGCAGCTTCTTCCTGAGTGTTGGCTATGTTCAATTTATTTTGTTGCAGCCTTGAATTCTTCACATAGCTTTATTCTCTCAGTGATAGCCAGGATTGTGCATGACATCTGAGTCTTTCTCCTTTTGTTGGCATGAGTGGTTCTGACATAGTTTCCTGCTGTCTAGTTTGGGGTTCTCAAACTTTCTATCCCCAGAAATTTTCAAAGTGACTGAGGCCAACTAGTCGCAAAATAGGAGTCTAGTGTAGAGCAGGATCAATCACAAAATCCAAATTGCAGGCAACGGAAGAGTTTGGCATAATCACGTTGAAATTATTGGCATCATTTTACACAATATCTAATCCATCTTTGAAAATGTGTGTTCTTTGCCAGAGCAATTTCCTTTTATCAGAAAATTCCATAGTTTAGCTTTGTGCAAGTTATCCGTGAATTCTTAACCTTTCTAAATGGTGTATGATTTCTGATTAATGGTATTTCCCAATATCCCCATGGTTGGAAAGACTGTGATGGCACCCTTGTAAGACCTGGCAGTTTCCTGTTTCCATTCCCTAACTCTTCCAATGACCTAAACCCAGAGGATCCTGATACCTTTCAGCATCCTTAGTAAATAAATAATCATCTGCTGTGAAGTGTGATTGCAATTTTTTGCTGCAGCTGAGATTTCCCAGCATTTTAAAGCTTGAGTAAAAGTGGAAATTCCTGAACACAAGCCCTTAATTCCACTGAAAGGTTTTTGTTTGTCGATGCACACACATAAAGCACATCAGCAGTCTGTCTGTAAAAGAAACAGGGAGGCAGCTGTATAGATGGAAGCAGATCTTTAGGAGTGCAAGACTGCTGACCAAATTAGTGTGGATCATACCTACATTTTGGCCCACAGAGTGAATACCACACAACGTTATGTTCAGGTAAATGTTAAATTATTGGCCTGTAGTTGGAAATAAACTTTAAAAAACCCTTTAGCAGTGGAAGAAATAAGAGCAAGAGATATGATTATACATCCACACATATTGCTCATTTGTTTCAGGAAAGCATATGGAAAGACACAAATCAGAGACCCCAGAAAATAGAGGAGAGGCTCAAGCCTCCCAAGACTAGGAGATGCTGAGAATGATCTGATAAAATTGGTCTCCTAGGATTCCTGTGTAGCTGAACCTTCTCAGAAGTATACTAAATGATCAAGCACTGAAAAACAGAGATCTTGTAGCACTTTTGAAGCTAACTGAAAGAAAGAAATTGGAAGCATGAGTTTTCGTAGACTTCAGTCTACTTCCTCAGATGCATCCTCAGATGCATTTGGTAGAGTAAGAAATAGAGCTATAGAGAAACTTGTCAAGAAAACCCTATGATACAGCTGCCTTAGGGTCACCATAAGTAAAAAGTAACTCCGAGGGACATAACAACAAGGACAACAACAAAATAGATGTTGAGCTCTTCCCCAAAAGAATGTATGTAGTCTACCCTGTTTACATTTCCTTGAGAGTAAACTATATTGAACATATTGAGGGCACTTCTAAGTACTTGTATTTGTAAGAGTGTTCAGATATAAGCTTGTTTAAATGATGATGTGAAAAATAATTTGCTCTTCCCATGCAAGTAGGCAAAATTAATAACAGCCTGCCCCCTACCTTAAAAACAGGTCAAGGTGCCTAACACAAAATGTAGGTTATCCAGAAATAAATTTACACATTTATGGGTGCATTTCAACTTTCAATTAAACACTACAAAAAGACCAAAAAAAGAAAAAGAAAAAGATGCTTTCTCTGACCTCCATGGATAATAATAGAATTAAAAACAAATGTTCACAAAAGTTTGACTGTTGACCAAATTTGAATGTAAATGTTGAGCACTTTCATATTTTGTTTTTGACATTCTACCATTAAAAAGTAAAATATCTAAAAATATGAAACCTTACCTTATTGTTGAATTTCATGAAAATGATTTTATCTGCTTCCCTTTGGGTGAGATTTGGATGGCATTTTAATGTTTCGAAGATGAGTAGGTTGGATCATTTGCTCCTTTACTCCACACCAGCATTTGTTTCCTGTCCAGCTCATAATGCTCAAAATGATGGCCCCATCCTTTAGTAAGTTTGGTCATTTTTGTGTTCCCCCCCCCCCTACACACAGACATATTTAAGACACATAGGAAGCATCTGCACACACCATCAAAACCCTCTCCTGCCCACACAATGCCCTTCTGCTTTATTGTGTTGTTCCTTCAAGTCATTTTTCACTTAAGGCCACCCTAAAGCAAACCTATCACATGGTTTTCTGGGCAAGATTTGTTCAGAGGGATTTGCCTTTGCCCTTCTCTGAGGCTGAGAGAGTGTGACTTGTCACTCAGTGGGTTTCCACAGCTGTATGGGGATTCGAACCCTGGTCTCCAGCATTGCTCAATGCTCAAACTTTGGAAGATAATTCCAGATTTGGCTTCCAATTCCACACACATTTGTAATAAGGCTACTATGTCTGCCATAACATTTGAGGCAGGACAAAATATCATCCACTTGGGCTAAAAATGCTTACTCTAGCAGGGAATGGTCAGAGTACCATGAAGGAGCAAGGTAGATCCTATCTGTAGCCCTAGTATCTCCAGGTTGTACTGGAAATAATCCCATGTTTGAGAGCCTCTGCCAGTCAGTATAGGTAATATTGGACTAGATGAAACTTTCTTCATTGTAAGAAGTCCAAAGAGTCTGAAGCTACTGCTTTCTCATAGGATATAAAGTTAATTCCTGGAAAACTCTGGTGTGACAATTGGGTAAAAATGGTACAAGGCAGGGTGATCAGATCCCCTCCTTTTCCAGGACATGTCCTACATTTTAACCTTCTGTCCAGATAGAATTTCAAAATTGTCCTCCTTGTTCAGTAGAACCAAGAAGCATGAATCTTTTACATTTTGTGGTGCTTTGTCTTCCTTTGTGGTCACCCTGGGTACAAGTGGTTTTTAAAATAATTTTCAAAATGGTTAGAAATGGTAAAGTAGTTTTATCAAACTACTTCTGTTTATTGCAACCTTCATGGGAAAATAGAGGATGTTCCTGTTTCCTTAGGGTGAAGCAGGGAAAGAAAAACAGGAGGGAAAAGAGCCTTGGGGTGTGAAGTCAATATATGTGAAGGAAATGTAGACATTAATTTTATTGGAGAGAAGCCATAGGGTGATGTCCTTCACCTTGTCTCAGCAAGCACATTCCTGCACCTAGCATTAGCATTGCTTGGTCTAGGATGATGGCTGTCTGACCCTAGGCTATAGGCTGACTCACCAGACGCCCCACCATAATGAATGTTTAACGCCATTCAATTTGCACACTAGAGGTGTGTTATCACACAGCTTCAGTCCAGCCCCAGAGCTGCAAATTCCTGCAGATAACATCTCCATAGAACACATCTTTGGGGACTACATGTATTATCTTCTATGATGGGCAGGATAAACAAGACGAGCCACATGTTATTCATGCCACAAAGTTAGATACATTCAGAATGCAATCCCATTTGCATCTCCCTCTGAGTGAGTCACATTGAAAATCATGCAACTTGCTTCTGAGCAGACATGCATAGGATTCCAGAATTTATTAAAGATAATGGGTTGGATCTCGATTACTACTGAGTGCATACCTATTCTCACTGGATGCAGGAAGATAACTTTCACTGTTGCTTCCCACCACACCTGGCAGCCCCCTGTGCCTCCCCAAAAGCTGCTTTGGAGCGCTGAAAAGATGCTCAGAACCAGCTTGTGAGATGATGCAGGGGCTGCAGAGCAATTGTGTTGTTTATCTTTCAGCCTCAGTATTCCTCATCTGCAAAATGGGACTACTGATGGACGACTTTGACCTGATCATTGTGCCCTTCTTCTGACTAGTTGTGTTAAAAGCCCCTGTGCTCTATTAATTCATACATAGATTTATTTATATCATAGTTTATGTTTATGTTATTTATGTCATAGTTTGTATCCTAGTTTATGGATGAAGTAGATAATTGTCTCAGAGCTACCACTTTGTGTTTGATTCTGTTTGGTGCAGAAATATAAACAAAACTAAAACTAAATTGTTTTAAGGTGGGTGGGTGGGTTTATCTGTATTATATGTTTTATTTGGTTTATGCTTTTAAACTTGTAAGCCGCCCTGATTGGGTCTCCATTGGGCGGGGTATAAATAAACATTATTATTATTATTATTATTATTATTATTATTATTATTATTATTATTATTATTATATAAAACTGATCCTGCAAGACTGAAATGTATCTAGCCTTTTTTTTAGACTATGCATGGGCAGTGTATGACATACAGAGACAGTAAGGGAGAGACTGGAAAACAATTCCCATCGACCCTAGCAAGTAGTTCTAATGGTTAAGAATGCTAGGAGTTGCAGTTCAGAAACTTTTGGTGGGCCACAAGTTGCCCACTCATTTTAGACCATGGCTCCATCTGCAATGATCCTATTAGTCCCAGCTCTCTTGTTAAAGCTATGAAAGATCGGAATCAGCACTGACTGATCGGAGACACTTTTCCACCATTTATAGTGGGATATATAAACACATTTATAGTGTTATTATCCCATCCTAACTGCCAGGGCAACATCCTTTTGAATCTTGGGACTGGCAAGAGATTTACAATTCTCAGCCAGAAAATTCTTCTGGTGCCTCTGATCAAATTTCAAAGCCCAAAATTCCATAGGAGGCTGTCATTACAGTTTAAGTGGAATCATAGGTAGTGTGAAAGGATCCCTGGAA